GCGCTCGGGCCCGGGGTCCCCGGCCAGGCGCGCGGGGCGCCCCCAACACGTGCGCCGGCCTCAGTCCTGGAGTCGGGGTACCCGGACAGACTGACGCGCCCGGGGTAGAGGCGGACGGACTCCCAGGAAGCCCCGCCCCCACCTGCGCGTCGCGTCCCCAGCTGTCAAAGGGAGGCCCCTCCCCCCGGCCAAGGCGCGCCCCCCCTCCCCATCGGAGATGCACGGGGACCAGGGGAAACGTCCACCCTCTCCCGAGGATGCACGGGTCCTGGGTGCCCAGAGTTCGGAGGCGTCCGGTCACTCTGGCGGCCTGTGAGGTGCACGGCAGGAAGCTGAAGATTCTTGTGTCATACACCGAGCCAGCAGCACTCGGTTACTCTGCTCCTGGCATTAGCCACAAACTCCGCCCACTTCCGGATCCCATGGGTGCTCCAGGAAACTCTGGCAAAGTGAATGCTTGCCCGCGCGGGTGGAGAACTCGCGTGGCCATGGGTGTGCACAGAGGTGTCCAGGTGTGGTGCTCTGGCAGCTGCTGAGCCAGAAGAAGTTTGTCCTGTGTAGATTGGGCCAGCCAGAGGTCCTCTGCAGGGCAAGGAAGACCCAGTACACCCCCCAGGCTGTGAAGGGTCCAGCCATTTGCTGCTCTGCTGGCCTGGAGGCTTTCCCTGCCCCCACTCCAGGAGAAAGATTCCAGTCCACTAGAAGGAGTCCCAGGCTGGCCAGAATGGGGGCAATCCTAGGATGCAGTAGGAATGATGGGGGAAGTCGTGTGTCAAGCCCCTGTGACCTGGGACTCTCCCATCTGCCTGGTGGTGGTCATCCCAGGCCCTGGACCAACACAAAGAAAGACCCCACTACTGCCTGGAAGACCCAGAAGTTGGACAGAAGTCCCCAGTATAGCCTAGGCCAAGTGTCCTGGCCCCTGTAACTTCAGCTTTGATGGGTAGGACTAGCAGGATTCTGCCATCCTGGGCACCACCTTCCCATCACCTGGAGGCAGGCCTCTCCCTTCAGGCCTTAGTTTCCCCAGAGGTAACCTGAAGAAACAGGCAGGATGGCCTTGGATGATCTGACCCTGAAAGGTCTCTGCTGGTGCCCAAGGAAAGAGGAAACCAGTCCCTGCCTTGAGAGCCCCGCAGGCCGGACACAAACAGCTGTGGGTTGAGTCAGGGACTGGGGCTGGCTGCCCTCTAGCTCTCAACATTTAGCCCCAGTTGTAGAAGAGGACAGTACCCAGAGGCCTGAGGCTGATGCCGCCACTGGGGCCCACTGGGTGAGTGTGTGGCCAGAGCCTGAGCCCCTGCAGGAAGGGCTTGTCCAGTGACAGTGTAGGCACTAGTAGGGCCACAGGCTACTAGGCTGGAAGAGAGGAGCACCTCCCCAAGCCAGCATTCCCATATACCTTGGCACTGTGGGATCCTTGAGGGTGACTGCCTCCCTTTCCTGCTCCCACTATAATTTTTTTTTTTTGTACCAGGGATTGAACACAGGGCCAAGGGGCACTTAAACAGTGAAACAAATCCCACAGCCCTTTTTTGTTGTTTTTTTTAGACAAGGTCTCCCTAAATTGCTTAGGGCCTTGCTAAGCTGCTGAGGCTGGTTTTGAACTTGCGAACTTCCTGCCTCAGCCTCCTGACCTACTGGGATTATAGGCATGTGCCACTGTGCCCAGCTCTGCCCCCACTATTCTGAGGGCACTAGAGGAGGGGCCGTGGTAGCACTTCGGGTCTGTGCATACTTTCTCCCCTCACCTCTACCCCATGTGTGTGCCCATCTCCTGCACTCCATCCAGTGTCAGACCTGCATCCTGGTGAAGCCTTCCTATCCACTCCAAGTCTGCTCCTCAGAGGACTGGACGAACGTGGCCCCCTCTGTCCTCATGTGCTTCCCTCCCCACTGTCCAAATAAACAGAAGAACTGAGACCCCTTCACTGTCAGGAGTAAGCAGCAGAACTGGATCCGATGTCCCCTTTCCAGGACACTTGCTCCTGAGAGGACCCAGACCTTCCACTGGCAGGGATGGACATAACTGAGGTAGAACACTTGTTTCGGGGTTCCTGGGGGGACCGATGGACACTTTTGTAGACATACCTGGGCCGAGTCTAAAAGTCAAATGTGGCCTTTATTGTGATGTGGTAAGACCCCCAACAAGACCAAATGTGGCAGCACACAGAATTGTTGTCACCCCCAACTCTGTCCTCAGTCAAAACAAAAACCAGATGTGGCCCAGCCCCAGACTCCAGCCCGGGGAGGGGCATTGGTCAAGGTCGTAAGGAGCCCAGTGACTGTCAAGTGGGCCATAGAACAAAGGGAGAGAAAGCCGGATAAAGGTCAAAAGCAGAGGCAGAGCCAAGGGGTAGCCCCATTGGCCCAAAGCAGCACAGAGGGCCTGGAGTCCTCAGTCCAAGCACAGATCAGGCTGCACCCGGAAGGGATGCTGGGCAGGGCAGTTCAGACAGGCCCTTGGGGGCTCACAGTGGCACAGAGCTCCCCTGAAAAGGGGGGATGTGCCAGCCTCCCCAGCTTCCTGAGCCACCAGGTTCTGACTGAGCGTCTCTGGACATCTTCCCGCCCCTAGCAGGGAGAAGCCAGGAGGGCCTGAAGGCTTGGTGAACATAGAGGATCTTGGCTGTGGCAGAAGTGGGGACAGGGCCACCAGTGGACAAAGGTGGCCAAAGTGTGGTGGCCACTGTGGCAGAGTCCCTAGGAGAATGAGGGTTATTCCTGGAAGAGGGAGTGAGGGCAGCCACTCTGGCCAGTCTGGACCAAGTTCCAGGAAAGCAAGCGGGCCAGCCGCTGGGAAGGAGCCCGGTGAGCATGGCAAGGTCAGGGGACATCCTCCAAGGCAGAGCTGCTGGCCAGCCAGGAGCCCAGGCGCCCTTTATTTGCAGTACTCTTTCCTGAACTCTGGAACCAACAGAAAAGCTGGTGTCAACTCTCTGCCCCATTCCGTGGGAAACTAAGAGCAGACATTCTACAGAACCTCTCAGACTCCTTTGCAGGGATGGTGAGGGTCTTCTACCCGTGGGGCTTGCTGGGAATGAGTAGGCTGGGGTTTTCCTGGGTCAGCAGAGGGGTGGCAGAAACCTCCCTCCCAGTGCTCACCTTTGTCCAGGTCAATGCTCTTGGCAGGCAGGGGGCTGTGGGCCAGCTCAGCCCTCTCCTTCAGGATGTTGTTCTTGTAATCTGTATCGGGGGAGCAGGGTGAGGTCCTCCCAGGGGCGCCCTCCCCAGCCCAGGCCTTTGTGTCCGGCCTACCTAGCTGAATGTCTTCACTCCTGTAAGGAGCCTGGTCCTCTTTGGCCGCAGCAAACTCCGCCAAATTTACATCCTTCCTGGAGAGGCAGCAGGTTAGAGGTGTGGCCGGCCTGGGAGGGGGCGGGGCGGGAGGCGGCACTCACCCTGGGGCCTTCGCCAACTTCTTGTCCGAGTACTCGTAGCCTGCCGATGGAGGGAGACGGTGTTGGGGGCAGCCTGGCCCCTCCCCGAGGAAGGCCCCCGCACTTGGGCTCGCCATCCGCGGGGTCGCAGCATCCCTGAGCCCCTGGGTCTGGAATGCTCCTGCCTCACCTCCGCGGCGGCGCTGGCGGGTGGCCAGGACCACAGTGATGAGCAGGAGGATGAAGAGCAGGAGCGTGGCCAGCACGTAGCCCAGTTGCTGGAAGAAGTGGGCCCGGCCCTCGGGGACGATGACGTTGATGACGCTGCGGCCTCGCGCCAGCGTGGGGTCTGCAGGCCAGAGGGAGGCGTCAGGCACAGGCACCAGGGGAGGAAAACTGCCGCCGCCCCCCCCCCACGGGGGACGCCCTCACCTGGGCCAGGGACACTGCCGTGGCCCGAGCCGTTGCCGGGCCAGGCCCGCGGAGGCGGCTCCGCGGCGGGCTCAGTGACCCTCAGGTGGAAGACCCTGCGCTCGTGCAGGCCGCAGTAGTGGTGGTGCAGGTGGCAGGAGTAGGTGCCCTCGTCAGCCGGTTCCAGGGGGTCGATGCTCAGCGAGAAGTCCCCGCGGGCGAAGGCGTCGGCGCCCACCGCCACGCGGTCGCGCAGGAAGGGCGGCCCGTAGGCTCGGCGCTCTCCGGACGCGTACAGGTCCAGCAGGCGGTCGGCTCGGTCGTGTGGCACCCCCGGCGGCTGCCGGTCCCAGTGCGCCACCTGCTGTGCCTCCTCCAGGTGCCGGTCGGTCCACACGTGCGCGCGGTTCACGCAGGTCAGCAGCGCGGGCGCGCCGCGCACCGCCGCCAGCACCTCCTTCTCGCCGTCCCAGTAGGCGCGTGCGGCTTGGGCTGCGGAGGGGAGGGGACGGTCAGCGTCCGGCGGCGGGAGGGGCGGGGGGCGCGCGCAGGGCACACTCACGGTCGTCGGTGACCTCGAGGCGCACGGCCAGGCTCTCGTAGAGGTGGCAGTAGTGGTGGTGCAGGTTGCAGGTGTACAGCCCCTCGTCGCCCTCCTCCACCTCTGCTCACGGCCCGCAGGGAGAGAACCGCCGCGTGAGTTTTCCCGGCCACGCTCGCTCGCGCCCCAGCAGCCGGCCTTCCCCGGGCACCCCGCGGGATTCCCTCTCCTTACCGCGGATAAGCAGTGAGAAGTTGCCGTCATGGAAAGCAGAGGGCGATAGTAGGAGGCGGCCCCGGTCGCGCGGCTCATACACGCGCTGCTCCCCAGCAGAGTACATGTCCACAAGTCGGCGTGCTGGGCCTCCAGGTCCGCCGCTGAGGTCCCAGTGGACCACACGCTGGCGGTCGTGCAGCCGGTCTTGGGTCCACACCATGCGGGGGCTCTGGCAGCGCAACACGGCCTGGGTACCCGCTGCCCAGCTCACTGCCGACTCAGATACCACCGAGCTGCCAGCTGTTGGAGACCCCGAGGGCCCTGGTGGGGAAAGGAGAGTCAGCAGGCTCGGGCCCAAGAGGACTAGTAGGAGTGGGGCTGGAAAGATGCAAAGAGGACTGGGCCCACGATAGGGGTAGAGTGGTCACTCACCTGAGGACAGGAGGACAGCAAAGCCTGGAAGGAGAGGAAGAGTGAAGCTGGGGAGGGGTGCCCTCAGCCTTGGTACCAGTCACCCCCAGCCTGTGGCCACCTGGTTTCTGGGCCCTTCCTGAAGTCCTGGACAAGGCTGTTTCCATGATGGCCACTGAACTGTGGTGAGGGTAAAGCGGGAGAAGTGGGGACGCGGGGTGGGGCTCCTGCAGCTGGACATGGGCAGTCCCCTCACACAGACCCTCTACCCTCACTGCCACCCTGCCTGGGTTTGGGGAGTGAGGAAGCTGCGCTCCCCCAGGGGCTGAGATGAAAGCCAGGATCTGGCCCTTGGCCGGCCGGCTCTGGGGCGTGGGCCTGTCATGGGGCCATTCTTAGGTGGCCATTGCTACATCCCTGTATGGAGTCCACCCAGACTCCTCAGCCTGAGGCCTGCTCACATCCTCCTGTGGAAGGGCCACACCGCTTGAGCCCTCAAGGATTCTGAGACCTTAGACCACCGGGGTCACTGCCTGCCACCAGGACTCAGTGGGACCCTGACAGCCTTCTCCCAGGTCAGGAGCCTGAAGCCAGAGGAGTGGACATAGGGAAGGCACCCCCATCTGCCACCCCACAGGACCAAGTTCCTACTGCGGAGAAGTGGCCGAGTGCCCAGAGCTTCAGAGAGGAATGTGCAGGGTCAGCAGGCCAGCCAGGGCGGGCCCAGGGGCCCTGGGGGGGGCTGGGACAGACCCTGCAAGCCCAGGGTTCTCAGGCACCCCTTCAGACCCCCTCTGCTTCTCCGTGGAAGTGCATTCCTGAGGGGCTGGACCTGGAGCCCCACGGTGAGTCGGGTTTGGGAGGACCTATGGAGGCACCTTGGCCACAGCCTCCTGCCCTTCTGGGCTCCAGCATCCCCACCACCCACAGGCAGGACTGTCGGAGGTCTGTCTGAATCCTCAGGCCCTCAGGTGAAGGATCTCTGTGAGGCCCCCCAGCCTAGCCCCTTCCCTGCAGGAACGCCTCACCCCTCCCAGCCCAAGCTCAGACAGGCAGCTCTGCCCAAGCGTGAGTTCGCCCAGAGTCCTGGGCGCTGGCACCCCAGCCCCAGCCTCCCTACTCACTCTCCAGGAGCAGGAGTTTCCACAGCAGGGCGCCGGACGGCAGCTCCATGGCGCCAGCCCAGCCCCTCTGGCTTTGTCTCCCTCCAGCCTAACTCTCCAGAAAAACAGCGGACCACCTCCCCCCGCCTAGCCCCCGCCGTGACATCACGGAGCCCGGGGCCTGCGGTCTGTGCCCCGCCCACTCCGCTGCTCCAGCCCCTTGGCCTCCCCATCCTTGGCTGGCCTGGTGGGGAGGGGCTGCCTTGCAGCCAACCTGCCCTGCAGGGTGGAGTGGAGCCCTGGCTGGACACTCACTGGCCAGCAGAGGGAGGGGTAGTACCCAGTCCTTGTGGGGGTCACAGAACCTGAGGTAGGACCCCTGAGGCCAGGAGGGTATCAGTGACATCTGGGACTTCCTGGTGGGGGCTCCTGTGTCCCCCAACTTCTGGTGTCCCCCACAAGAGCTGCCTCCCACCTACTGGCCTCTGTGCCAGATGGCCCTTTGCCTCTGCCTCTTAGCTGAGGAGGACCTTGGCACCCTTCCAGGGACCCTGGTGGGCTCTCTGGGAACAGCATTAAGGGCATTGCAGCACAGTCCTCTTTAGGACCCAGAGGAGCCAACCAGGGAGGCAGGGTAGTGCTCCTGGCACTGAGGCCAGAGAGGTGGTCGACCTGGACAGAGCCTCGTGACCCTGAAGTCGGACCCCCACCCAGGGGAGGCAGGGCGTAGGACCCCCAACCACTCACCACTGAAGGAAGGGCACAAATGTGAAGCTCTGGGAAAACTTACAAAGTCACATAAACAGATGTAAAATAACAGGGCAGGCCCCGTGCACCCAACCCACTCCTGCTCGTTAGGCAAACCTCAAGACAAAAAGGAAGAAAAGAAGATTCTCAACAACCACAGAACCCCTCCAAGCAGTCGCAGCCCATTTGGATGGAATCCTCACAGGCCCCAAGCCCTGGGGCAGGATTCTGAACCCTGCCTTGGTTCTCAAGTCTTCAGACCGGGCTTCTACCCCTGGGGCTGCTGCAGGGGAGGGGACAAATGGGGACAGAGGGCCACCAGGACCTGAGGGTCCTGGCTTCTCTGGGCTGGGTGGGGCCCGTTTCCCACCCCAGAATCCATGTGGCAACTTGACCCCAGGCTCCTCCTGGGCCTTCTCGGCCTTCATTCTGGAAAAACAAGCCCCGCCCGGCGGTCCTCCAGCCTGGCCTCCCCTCTGTTTGTCTAACTGGTTTCCATTAGTGCTCAGACCTCTGTGGACATCTCACTACACACCCTGGAGCAGGGCCTCGGCTGCCTGTCTCTCCCATCCCACCTGTCCCTCACTCACATTCTCTGATCCCACAGAAAGAGAAGGTCCAGGCCACAGGCAGATGGCTGGCCTCTGGGGCCTGGGAGGGACCCTGGCTACAGTGGTAGTCTGGGGGGAGTTAAAAGGAGCCTAGAGGCACTGGGTCTACTCCTCTGCTCAGACCAGGTCACCCTAAGTAGCCGCAGGGCCTTCTCCCTCCCTGTGGGTCCCCTGGCCTCAAGTCCTGCTGAAATTTGGGGGGCCCTAAAAAAGTGCAGAAGCCAACAACCCGGAGCAGGTCATGAGCCACCCTGCCCTTGGAGAGGCCTCAGGCCAGGGAGTCAAGGGAGCAGTCAGGCCCACTGCTCCCTCC